GAGGGCTCTTGGCACCAGCGCCTGTGGAAGCAGGGGAGGGGTTGAGTTGTGACACTCCAGCTGCCCACATGGGACACTGCTGTGGGGATGGTCCTTTCAGTGGGTCCCCCTTGGGGTGAGGGGACTGGGCTATGCGCCTCTGTATTGATCTGACAATGGATGCATGGACTTCAAAGAAGCAGTTTTCTTCAACGAAGACCAAAACCAAATGAGGCTGACAGCTGAGGGCTATAGGGGAGAGGGAACCCGGGCCCCCTTCGCAGGAAGAGGGATGGGGAACCTCTGCCCTGCTCTATCTCACAGGAGGAGGGGTGGGGACCCCTCCTGGCCCCCAACCTCCAAGTCGCAGCATGAGGAAGAGTGGGGGACACCCTGCCCCCCACCCCTGATCCCCCTGGCAACAAGAGGAGGGGTTGGGGGCCCCCCTCCTCACTCATGTACCTCAAAGAAGGGAAAGCACTTCTGGGCACTCAAGGCAGCTTTCAGAAGGCTTGCCCCCCTACCCTTTCATAGGCTTTCTTACAAGATTTTGAAAGTTCAGTTATGAATTATATATAAGGAAATAATACTGTAATCTAGCTACATTTGTGTGTTTTAGAAGTCTGTTTATGTGTCTTGTTTTCATGGATGTGTTGGTCACTGTCACCCACAGTCTGAGGAGAATGTTGTCAGATGCAGAGGACAGGGATCTGTTTTGTCTTTTTTTTTTTTTTCCCTGCGCGCTGTTCACAAACAGCCGGCATAGCAAATAACAACCCTCTAGATAATACAAATGGGTAAATACTGCCAGGACTTGTTACATAAAGTGCTAAAAAATATAACTTGAGGATGTAACCACTGAGTTTCCCACTATCAGAAATTCCAACATCTGTTCCAGCCACAAGGTGGAGGGTGGCGAATGTTGCAGAGCAAAAATAAGAAATTGTAAATCTTTTATCCCGAACCTCTGGGTGGGATTGATAGTGGAGGAAAATGCATTAAAGAAGAGATTTGGCTCTCATCACTCTTGAAAGCGCACGTCAGCTCACTTTGACATTCTGAGTGTAACAGGTGAGAGCTAAGGAAGGACTGGGGTTCAAGGGACCCCTTTCAGATTTGCAGGGAAGGCAGGAGAAAAACATCCTCTCTAAATCAAGGCTCCTGCGTTTTTAAAACATTCTCTGGCACACCACTGGTTTTCACATCCACTTGCTTTCCTAAGGGCTTCCCTTATCTAAACACTCTGCCCCCTCAGCCACGCTCACACCCCATCCTGACTCTCCCATCTCCCACACACTCATTCTTGACAGCAATGTGAAATCACACCTGCTTGGTACCTGTGACATCTCTCAGCTGCCTGGACCCCTGTAGGAAGGTGAACCTCTGCACCCCGTCCCCCGTATCCCCCCCCCGCCCCACCCCAAGGTGAAAAGGCTCAGCGTTGGCCCACAGCCTGATATGCAAACCAAGGTCAGTCTCTGCCTTGGGCTGCAGTCCTTCCAGTGCTCTCTGAAGGACTGGCCAGTGTCAGGCAGCGACTACCTGATACCCTGGGCCAATGTCCCAGCAGCAGCATCGGCCAGTCTCAGGAAGACACTACTGGGATGGTGGGGGTGGATTTTTGAAGCTTTGATGGCGTTCGGTCCTTTCCTAGGAGGGGCTGGATAGCTGCCCTAAATCCAGGCTGATAAAATTCTGATCAGACCAACCCTGTGGGTCTGACGTGGTCTCAAACTCGAGGTCCACGGCCAAATTCAGCCCATCCGTTTCTTTTCCTTGGCCTGCACATGGTTTTTACTTATTTAAATTGCTTGTCAAGACACAAAACTGGAATGACTCCATGTGAGTCTGCATTTCTGACTTTTTTTTTTTCTTCCCAAGAATAAAAGGATTTGTTTGTAGAGTGTGATGTTTAAGAACATGAACTCTGCAGCCAGTTCCTGTGATCGAGAGCAAACTGCCCGTCCTTTCTGGACCCCGATGTTCTCATCTGTAAGCTATGAATAATAATGCCTACCTCAAATGCTCGCTGTCAGGTTTCAATGAATTCATATCAGCAACGCTTTCAGAACAGGGCCCACCGGATGTAAGTGTTAGAACAGTTACTATGTTGCTATAAACACTGGCCAGGCATTCACAACAGTCATCTCCGCTCACAGTAGCATACCACCCTTTGTGTAATAATGCTTCCTACCCCGCTCAACTCAGCGGCTCAACTCTGCTGCCTGACCTCTGAGTATTTGAGTTTGAGACCCCTGGCCTCAAATGAAAATGCAGTATTTGCCCATGTGGGATGTTTGTAAAGCCGTGAGGGTAGCACGGCCTCAGGCAACAGCTGCACATTTCCAAGGCACCGGGGAGTTTATAAGCGAATTAGGTGGCACATGATTTCCTGCTCCTGATTTGGCCATGTGACCTGGTTTGGGCCACCACATGAAGCAGAAGCGACTACCTGTTGGTTCTGGGCCTAAGCCTTACCTGTTTCACATTTTCACCATGACTCTTGAGAAGGAAAAGCTCAGGCAGATGCTAGTCCAGGACGAACTGATACCTGAAGCAGGGCTCCCCCAATTAAGGTGACCCAAGGAAAGGCAGCGCAGAATAGGGTCCCAGCTGACCTGCAGAAGTATTAGCAAACCCAGCAGAAATCTGCTGAAACCAGCCTACATCAGCCAATCCACAGTAAACCCACGCTTGTATGACGTGTAATAAATGGTTGTCATTTTAAACCAGAGTTTGGGGGTGGATTGTTATACAGCAAACTGTCCAATAGAACCCCTCAGTAACCAAACAGCACATTGCAGGTTTTTCCAGAATGTCGTGATGAAGCACCTGTGTTAGGTTGTATGACCATCAGCTCTCTGAGAACTGGGCTGCTCTCTAACTCACACGAAGAATCAAACATTCTAGGGTTGCAGTGTGCGAACACCAGCTGTCAGCTGGGTGCCCCCACCCTTCACACCACCTTGGACAAACCCTCAGGACACAGCAGGGTACAACCCAAATCATGGATTTTTCTCAGTTCCCAGAGCTTATTTTCTCATGGCTCTTGTCATGTCCACATCCTCCTACGTATATACAATATCACCAAGCTTGTGTTCGTTTCTCTTAACTGTTTATGCTGGCTACACACTGTTAAGGATGGACTGATGGAGACAGAGTCAGGAAGAAAAGTTAGGAAAGCTCCTGGTGATGTCCAGGTAGGAGATAGCGTTGGCTTGAATGAAGACTATAAGAGCAAGGAAGGAAATAAGTAAACAGATTCAATAATAAAAATAGAGCCAGTAACAACATTTATCAGATGCTTGTTATATGTCGACTACTGTTCTAAGAGAATCAACAGTCTTAGGACTTAGGTCTACTACTTCCTCCACTTTACAGGTGATAATGCTGAGGCTAAAATGACCCAATGTACGAGTGGTGGATTCAAACTCAGGAAATCTAGGTCCTGAGTCTAGGCTGTTAACCACTGCATAATTCTGCCTCTGCATTATATAAGACATTTGCAGATGGTAGAAGAAACAGGACCTCGTGATTGATTAGCCGTAGGGGGTAAGGCACAAAACAGTTCAAAAACATGATCTTGTTGTGTGTGTGTGTGTGTGTGTAGGGGAGTCAGATAAACAGATTATTTCAAAACAATCATGGGACAACTGTATGAAATAAGTTGTTCTGAATTTGTCTACCACAGCTGGGTACTCATTTCAATCTGGCAGGATAAGTGGAGGCTATTTGAGATCTGTTTGCCTCTTTGATTTTTCCACTTAATACAGTAGCCAAGACTTGACAAGATAAACAGCCGTTTGGAGTGAGAAAAAAAACTGGATATTCTTGGCTCTGTCTTGTTCTTTAAAAAAAAAAATCCTTGTTTGATGAGGAGCAGCATTTTTTTTTCTCTAGAACAAAGATCAATACTGGCTTTTTTGTTCAAGCTAGAAAATATATTTTTGTAATTTCTAAGAGATGACCGCTAGGAGCAGGGAGGCAGTGAGTCCTCATTTAATTAGATGCCCTAGAACTTTTGCTCCTTGACAAAAATTTTAAAAAGTGCTTTGAAAGAGGTCACTTTTGAGACATCCCCTCAGGGCACAGTATACAAGATAGCCTCAGAGTCCTTCACCCCCTGCTCTTGTCTTGGCTTGAAGTTAAGATTTCTTTCTGTATGACTCCACCTCATCTGAGTGACAGGTGCTATCTGGTAGAGACCAGATGACCAATTCTAGGATGAGGAATAGATCTCTGGGCCTTGGAATTAGACACGTGATGGAAGAGATAGATCAGTGCCAATTTGGATACTTGAGATAGAATTCCAAAGATTGGGGGGAGGGGAAAACTCAGAAAATCTGCGGCTAGATTTGGTATAAGCACAGAGCTCGGTAACAGAGACTAAATAAAAAGGTTGGGGAAATGTAAACATGGGGTTTTTCCAAGAAGTGAGGTACAAAGTTAGGAATAAAGAGGGAAATCCAAGCCGTTCTTGATGAACTAACTGGGCAGGAATGTAGAACCTCCTCTCTTGTAGGGTTCCAACTGTTTGCTACGAAAAAGAGTGTGAAAGAAGTGGCCTGGTTGATACGGAGCAGTCAGGACAAACACACACATACTTCGAGTTGTAATTGTCTCCTGTCAGCCACAGCCAAGAGGCTCTGAAATCAGGGTCCAGTCCGTCTTTGGCTTTTGCACATCTGGTCTCTGCTTTTCCTTAAGCTCACATTATTTTAAAACAAAAACACCGAGGATCATAGGGAACCCCATCCAAGCTACAGAAAGAGAGGGACATGTACATGAAACCCAAGGGAGGGAATGCAATCTTGACAGGAGGCTCTATGCCCAAGAGATGAAAAGTCACTACTTTCTCCATCGCTCCCTGCAGTAGCCATGTGTTGTGTTCTTCTTGATGCCTCCCTAGGAAGCTCAGAGTCAAGTTTATAGTTTCTCTGTCTCAAGTGGTTAAGGACATAATGCTATGCTTTTTTAAGTCATTTCTGGCTACATTTATTGCTCTTCTCATCTTGGTTTTTAATTACCTTGCATCTGTTTTGAATTTGGGCTTTCTATTTGGATGGTACATATTCTTTTGTGTCATATGACACCTTTTCTGAAAAGCAGATCAGCCAAACAACCAACTACAATACACATGTGAACATAAATGGACACACATGCACATATGCGATCATGTGATCTACATACACATGCTTATATTTTTTCTCACAGCACCACCCCCCTTACACCACCAACAGAACAGCTGAGAGCACTTCATAAGCAGTACTATCCAGAGAAAACATATCGTGTATTTGAATCATGGAGTCGGTGGGGTTATTTTGGTATTCTTATAAGGACTTAAAATTTCTAGACTTTAGAAACGAAAGACGCAGTTTGCAAAGATTCCAAAAAAAAAAAAAGAAAAAAAATTACATCCCATATGACCCTTGGCAGTGGAACGTTACCACCACTCTCATCAGGGGAGTCTTTTCCCCACACCTTGAGTTTCGGTTGGCCCAGTAACTTTCTTAGACCAATAGAAAGTGGTGGAAGTGTTATTATGCAAGTTTTGGAGCCTAGGTTTTAAGAAGTCTTGCAGTGTCCACCTTCACTCTCTTGGAATGCTTCTCTCAGTCTATCACATAAAGAAGTAGAACAGTCTATTGACAAAGGAGGAGCCATACGGAAACAAACCAAGCCACCCCACCTGCAGCCAGCTTCTCTCTCCACAGCAGCTCCAGTTCACTGAGCAAGCTGATGCCAGAGGCTGGAATGGAACTTGGCTCTCCAGGCCTCTAAGGCTCCAGGCCTTCAAGAGTGCATTCAACCCTGCACCTCTCCTCTTGGAGGGGGCAGCTGCTGCCTGAGCAGAGCTCTGTGGTACAGGGGGTGGGGGTGGGGGGGTGGGCAAAGGGCCAACACAGTGTGAAAAGACAGAGATGGAGCCCAACCAGTCAGCAGCTGGCTGCGTATCTATAAGCAAGTAACGTGACTTCTCTGGACCTCAGGCCCCTCTGTGGGATGAGCATGTTGGAGAAGTGAGTGCCCCAGGCCCCTTTAAGTTCTGTTCGTCCCTGACCATGTGACTCTAAAGCATGCCTTCTGAGCTCTTTAGTCACAGCAGGAGCTCAGGGATTTTACCATGACAGGCTGGAAGCCAGCAAGTGGGTGGCAGGGGGTTGTATTTCATTCTGTCAGCTCCCCTTCTTCTAAAGGGTAACATTGTCACTCATAGCTTATCTTGCTGTGAACTTTCCTTAATGGTTTCGTTGCATTCAGGCTCAGATTAATCATCCTGGGCAACAGGCAACACGACAAACTCATCACTAATTAATTGGCAGCAACACAAGACACCACGTTCCCTGGTGAAGACGGTGTCTTTCTAGATCAGCCTCCATCCTCCTAGGTCCTAATAATAGTGTGGGTGCCGTTTCATTCTCTGTGCTCATCATGGCTAAAAGTATAGGTGAATGTTTACCCAGGAAAGAATAACAAGGTGAAGACTTAGTTCAGGCAAGTGTGTTTCTGTGTACATCTTCATTCCCCAAACCAATGATGTATTAAGGGAGAAGGTCTATCTATCTTCCTATGTCTTGCCCATCTTACGTAAATAAAAACGTTTACCCTTACAGTGTTAAATAAAAATTCAATGTTATTGCTCCACGTGTAATACTGTAGAAGTGAAGGTGAGGTCATACCATAAATAGGCTCTGAATTTTGATTTTCAGTGGAGTTTTGTTTTTATCAAAGAGATTTAGGCACACTCAGCTCTGCATGTACCTGTGTGCAATGCTGAATCTCCAGCTCACAGAACAGAAAACGCTTCTTGAAGGAATGAATCAATCTCTTACAAAACGACTACCCTTTTCTCCGCTTTCTCACAATTTACTAATTCCTCCAGTCACAGTATTCTTGCTTTCGTCTCCACACCAGCCATCTCAGTATTAGTCAGGATTCTTAAAAAATTATAGAAGCTTAAACACAACTCAAACTAGCTTAGGCAAAAGAGGAACATTTTGGATCGTGTGTCTGGCAAGAAAGTTGGGGAGCTCATAGTGATCAAAGGACAAGATTTGGGTATTTGGGGCTTGAAGAGTCATCCTGAAACTCAGTGCTTCCAGGAAGAATCAATAAATCAACAAATCAATTCCTCTCTCTCTCCACCCCTCCCCACAAGAGGTTGGCCATCTGCAAACCAGGAAGCAGGCGGAGGGTTCCCGCCAGAGCCCAACCATTCTGACACCTGACCTTGGACTTCCAGCCACCAGAACGGTGAGACATCAGTGCCTGCTGTTGAAGCCATTCAGTTTGTGGTATTTTGTATGGCAGCCCGAGCTGGCTAATAAACTAGCTGGCTAGTTTAGTTTTCCTCTTATCTCTCTGATATTTTATCCTTTTATGATCTTTTTGGTTGATTTTTAACTAGTCCCATGTTTGCAAGTATGGTTATCACTTAGGCCTCCCGGAAATAATCTTAGGCTCAGATTTCCGACATGAGCTCCACAGGAACATATCTTGCCACCTACTATACATATAGTTCCACGGGTGTCTCACACTCAGAGGTCCAGCACTGAACACATTATTCCCCCAGATCGCCATCACTGCTCCCGTCCACACGCTTCACCTCTATGAATACACGTGCATTCACCCATTGATGCCTCCTTGTCCCTCATCCCAGACGCAAACACCCACCCAATTCTATAGTCACTGAGTGGTTCCGAGAACTCCATTTATCTTCACTTTTGCAGGCACCACCTTAGGGGATGTGACCTGCTCAGCTGGATTCCTACGACACTCTGTATCCTACGTGGCCTCTCTGAGCCCGGGTCGAATCTCTCTAATCTAGTTTACACTCTGCAGCCAAACGGAATCATGCCACTTCTCTGGACAAACCAAAGATCCTGCATGCTCTCGCACTTAATTGTGCCAGCATTAATTCTTGCTCCCGCCCCCATAACAGTCGCCACTTCAGTCCTGTGGATCTCCTTACAGTTCTTTTGGGCCATATGCCTCCCAGTAATGCCTCTGAATGTTTGCCCATTTTTTCTCTGTATCTAAAACATCCTTTCCATTGCTCTTTACCTGGGTAATTCCTTCCAATTTCAGCTTAGTTGGTCTTCCTTTGGGAAGTATTCTGTTTCCCAAGATTTAAGCAGATTCTTATGGGATCTCATGGACCATTGTATTAATCTTATTGTAGGGCCACTTTAGAGTATTATACATGACGGGTGCATTTGTTCCCGCATCCGTTAGAGCGTGAATCCCTTAAATGAAGGAGTAGTGTTTGGTGTCTGTTGTGGACACTTAATTGATATTTGTTTAATGAGAAAAATCAATAAAGTGATGAGTGAAAAAAATATAAAAATGTGCAAACCCATACCTGCACTCTAGTGGCACGGTGACTATAATTCATTCAGCTCAGCTCCTATTCAAACAAACAAACTCCACAGCATCACCGTTTTAAGGAAAATATGTTTGTAAGGTATCTTGTAAGTATTTTTAAGGCTTTATATACTAGAAGGTCAAGAAGTTTATTTGTCCCCTGTGCTAACTCCATTACCTTCTTGCAAATCTATTCTATCCATCAGTGTCTGCTGTTCAGAGGTCCTTAGAATAAAGATCTGTTTTGTCAGCAGTTGTCCTCTGGTGATAAATAAACACACATTAAAGCTCTCAGGTGGACTCTGTAAATTATATGTTCCTTTGTGTTACGTCTTTCCTTAATATCGATTTAATTGTTTTCTAATCATGGTGGAATAAACAAACACTGGTCATGATATTTTACCCAGATAATTAGCTCACTTAGATCTGTTTGCCTGTTTTATCTAGGCTATTGACAGATTTTACATGGGTGTGAATACATTTAGTGACAAAGGAAATGCTTGGGTGCAGGTAAATAGGATATAAAATTGTAAGTGGAGATTTCTGGTTTAATGTGTGTGACTAACATGACAGAAGAAACGTATATGCTTATTTTAAAAATCCACAGGAGAAATGGGGAGAGTACTGCCCATACATTATAACGGAAGAAATGATGGAGGGAGTAGAAGGGATTAAAAGTGTGACTGTGGGTTGTCTGTCAGCAGGGTGAGGAATTAAGAAGTAGAGCAGTTAGGCCTGACCTTGACTATGAGTGGCTGGACTGACGTCCGTCCCTAGGAATATGTTTTGTGTACAGATCTTTTACCCAGAAATTCTGACAGAGGCTCCCAGGGTGAGAACTGTGGCCAGCCAAGTGGGGCTGTGCCTCAGACAACTAACAGCTTCCAGGAAATACAGGGAGATCACATATTCAAAATGAAAAATCCTCCACTTACACTCCTTAAAGGAAAGCCCACTTCATCTCCCATCCCCTCCTCCACTCCCTTCTCTTATAAAAACACCAGCAGTGAGGCCCTGATGGTCTAAATCCGCATGTATTGCCAAGAGAACAGGAAATTTCAGTTCCCCAGCTGCCAACATCACTCAATTTAAATTTCATCAATCATGAAAAGCAACCAATAAATACCATACATTTGAAGAAAGCTAACAGTGTGAAAAAGAACTTCAGAATACATTAAACAGCAAATTAATGGGTGAGGGAACAGCTAACACAATAAACTGAAGGGAACTTAACGAGTTATCACATCAAGAAGAAAGAACAGTCTGCAAAGGGAAAGAAACGACCAGGATGCTCAACAACAAAACTTGAAACCCGTGATCGCCAGACTAAAAGCTAAACTCAGGAGACGGATGGTCCGCCGAGAAGAATGGATACCAAGTGAAAACTAAACTCTGGGCTGGGTACCAAGCTGGGGGATTTTCTCAGAACTGGTGAAAAAGGTTCAATGTGGGGGAGGGGTGTTAAGCTCTAGCCAGAAGGGCAAACACCTGCTTAGGAAATGTTCCAGAAGGAATGAAAGAGAGGGAATTGTCAAGTAAATAATAAAGGAAAATTCTCCTGAGGGGAAGAGAGAACTGACCAGGTAATTAGCCAGGATATATGATTGATTCAACACATTTTTATTGACCACCTGTGTGTCAGGTACAGGTACTGTTTTGAAAGTGGTGATAAGGAAGACAGACCTCACATCTGAATACATCCTGGTGACGTTACCTGAATTCCAGATAAGAAAACAAAATGTCCGACTTTTCTGACTCCCTGTGAGAGAGTACTTGATACTGGGCTGGTCTCCCAATGTCAACAACTATAAAACTAGACAACACAAATAAGTCAACAGATTTTTAGATAGTGGAAAACAGCACAAAACTATGCTACCTGAAAGGAGGGACACTCCTCGGTGCGCCCCATGATCACACAGCTCTCCACCTCGGGACAATTTCCCCAGCGTGACACAGACAACGAGAATCTGAGACCAACAGTTCTGCTGAGCTGAGGAGGCATAGGCTCAGAGTTCATCCGAAAAGCAGCAGCTTGGAATCTGTTTAATGAATGAATCAAAGAAATAAAAAAGGAATGTGTAACAAAGGCATCAAGGAGATGGAAGCTCTACCGAGAAAGAGCCACGCAAGGGATTCCTTCCAAGTCCGCAGACTCAAAAGTGAGTCTTCGCCCGGTTTACCAGAAACAAGCTGCTCTGGCTTGAAAATGGAATGAAACATTAAGAAGTCAAGAGTTCTGGAGGCAGAAGAGAGCCAAGAGGTGTTGGTGTTCCGACCCTGGAGTGAAGGGACCTTGTTAACATGCTCTTAACACACCTGAAATCCAGCTGAGACACAATCACGCCCCCATGTCAGGATAAAGACACCCCTGGAGTAAGACCCACCTCAGCTTGTCTTCACAAAGCCTTAAACACAAGCCCACTAAGATCTCCAGGGGAGACAGTTGAGAGGCTGAAGTCAGCTGAGTGAGGGAGGTTTGATAAACAATTTTTCTTAGATTCGCAAACTATAAAACCAAACCTCGGGAGTTCCTGCCGATTAGCCAGCAGTTGACCTGCCTGTTAGAACAAGAATCAACCGTCTTCTGAAAAACACAGAATCCAAAAGTCTCCTTACTGTGTTATGTTCCATATCTAGTGTTCAATTAGAAAACACTAGTTCTACAGAGAAACAGGAAAAAGTGATCCAGAGTCATGAAAACTAAAGTTGTCCCTGTAAATCAGTCCCAAGCTGGTCCAAATATGGGGCTAAGGGAAGATTTTCAAGCAGGTATTATAAAAATGTGAACAGGAGTAAAGAAAATATTGAAAGAAAAAATATGGTCTTAATGAGTGAATCGATAGGAAAATCTCAACAATGAAATGAAATTAACAGAAGGAACCAAAGAAAAAGGGTAGAAATTAAACATTATAATAATCAAAATATAATACCTGGAATTTAAAAACTCATTGGATGGGCAAAAGAAAAAGTCAGTGAATTGTAAGACAGAATTGGAAGTTATCCAATCAAAAAACAAAGAGAAAAAAGATTGAAGAAAACTTAACAGGGCCTCATGATCCAGTGAGACAATATCAAATGATCTGATATACATACAGTCAAAGCCCCCAAAAGAAAAAAAGAGTGAGATTGGAGCAGGAAAGGTATGAAATTAATGACCTTATATTGCACTTAAGAAAGTAGAAAAAAGAAGAGCAGAGGAACTAAAATGGAAGGAAATAATAAGGAGCAGAAATCAATGAAATGGAACAAAGAAAAAAAGGGACAATTAACAATGCCCAAAGTTGCTTCTTTAAAAATATCAACAAAATCGATAAAACCCTATCTAAACTGATCAAGGAAAAAGGGAAAGAATGCAAATTAACAAAATCAGGACTGAAAGAGAAGTTATTAACTCCAAAGATCCTAGAGGCATTCAAGGATACGAAGGGAATATTAGTAAAGAAATTGAATTTATCAAAAACTTTCCCACAAAGGAAGTTGGAAGTCAGGGTGGTTTCATTGGTGAATTCTATCAAACAGTCATGGAATATATCACAACAAACTCTTTTGACAGACAGAGGAGGAGGAAGCACTTCTCAGCGTGTTCTGTGCAGCCAGCACAATGCTGATATTTAATTTGGACAAAGACATTCCAAAAATAAAGCAATTACAGATTAGAATTACTCCTGAACATAGATGCAGATATCCTTAAAATATGGCTAAACCACATTTACATATGTGACCCTACATTATGACCACACAAATTAAAGAGAAAACTCTAAGATAGTGAAGAGAAAAGGAAAAAGTTTATGTACAAAGAAATCAGAACTATATTGAGTTATCATCTGTGAGAACAATAGAGCAAAGTCTTCAGTTCGGGCAGAATACAATTTTGAACTTTTATTTCCGTATCAGACAAAATTGCAAATGCGGCGCAATCTCAGTCATGTAGGAATATAGATAGGAAATATCCGAAAAGAAATGTGTGCTGAACACCTACCCCAATAGAAACGCCATCACACCTGTGATGCTCGCAGGTGTGAGGGAAGGGTGATGTTCCTCTCTGTTCAACCAATCTCACGCAACTGGTAGGAGAAGAGAGCTGAACTCAAACCCACGGCTTCTCAATATGAGGCTTGACTTCATGCACTGTCATTAAACTTGAGGAACTGACATTGACTGACAGATATCCACGCTACCTCAAACAACCACATCCCCAACTCACAGTGGACTCAACGACCGGCGCTCTGGGCCAGGCTTCCAGCGGACCTTGGACATGGCTGCTTGACCAGAGGACAACGGACGGAATTCCCAGCGTTGGCTGATGCCTTTCTGCTGGAGGGAATTAGCATGCTCTCCCTGCAACCTGTTTGATTCCACTAGGTTTCCTCCAAAGGGACAACGGCTGCCATGGGAAAGTGGCCTTTCCAGCGTCAAGCAGCACATGCCCTTTTGTAAGCATCCTCATTCCAGAGTCGGATGTCGTGGAACTCGGGCCCCTCGACATAAGCAGGAGCTTTCTCCTCCCTCCTTGCAGGGTCAGCCAGCGGGAATTTGGCTCACCTTCTGTCTGACCACAGTATGTCTGCCATGGGGGCTGAACAGCCACTTCACTGCACAGCTGCCAGAGGCTGGAATAATTCATTAAAATTTAAAATAAAACCATGTACATGCCTCTGCATTTGAAACTGTAGGAGTGGGTAACCTCTTCGAGGCATTCCAACTGATTATCAACGGAAAGAAACCTTTTTTTTTTTTTTTTCAAGAGGATATTAGCAGTATAAAGTATACTTCTTAGGCATATGTATAAGTAATCAAACCATGAAAGCTGACATTAAAGCAGAAAAACCTTGTTGTGTGTAACAACCGGTAATTTATCCAGAGCATCAAAATGGATTCACATGGGGGAAGGGAAAGCGAGGAAACTAAATTAAAAAGCAGCAGTGAATAAAAGTGGCAATTCAAAATGATGGCCAGCCCACCTTCCCTTTTCGCCCCAGCAGCTTTGGAACGGTCCGGGAATGGATGGGCAGAAACACATTTTTATGCTTTGATTTTATGAGCCTTCAAATGAGAAGCAAGCTAATGGCATGTGTTATAGATACTTGTCTAGCCAAATATGTGACTTCTGCCTAGATGAGAAAACCATTATATCTTTCTCAAGCCACTACAGGAACTATCTCAAGGTCGCACAGCAGGTGATTCGTTCCTGAAAACAACCTCCCCGCAAGCAAGAGCCCA